CAAGTAGTAAAAGAAAAAAATGCTCGATTAATCGTAAATCATATATTTATATATAGATATCTCCTCCACACAATAACGAGTTTTTCTCCATTCTTATTATATATTATCATAATGCCGTTAATGTTGGGTTTTGAAAAAGACTTTTCATGTCATTTCTATTTAGATTCGATTTTGATCCCTCCATTGTTTCCTTTTCCTCCCGCACCTTTTCCTAGAAATGATAAAGAAGATGTTACACTCAAATTGTATTATTTAAGTGTTGTTTGTTTTTTATAAAAAACATTGCATTATTTAGGACCTGGAAGACTCTTGGATTGGGAAAAGCTAGAGAAGGGTTGTACTAACGCAGAGATTTTAGAGACTTGAAAGATTCATGTCAGCATCTTTTTTTGTAGGATTAGTAACTTCAAGAAATGAAGAACACCTTTTTTATGTTTGACACTACAGGCTCGGGCATCCTTCTTGCTCTAAAAAATAATTGGTTTAAATATAGTTAAATTAAAAAGTTGTATATTGTGGACTTCATGTCCTTTAACTAAAATGCATATATTGCCTTTTTGTGATAATAGTAGTAGAATAAGAAATTCTTTTGATTGGATACACTGTGATGTATGGGAACATTATTGTAAATCTTCACATGATGGAAATAAAATATTTTTTAATTATTGTGGATGATTACAATATATGTATATGGATATATATGATGAAGTTTAAGGCCGAAACAAGCCTTAACTTATAGCCATTTTGCACTTTTGTTGAAAGATAGTTTGACAGGAAGGTGAAAGTCATCAAAAGTGTTAATGGAAGGGAGTTCAAAATGGGTAAGCTCTAGGAAGATAATGGAATAGTGCACCAAAGGAGTTGTGTGGAAACTCCTTAATAGAATGGAAGAGTAAAACAAAAATATCAACAGATACTGAAATAGCAAGGGCATTAAAATTTTAAAGTGTGCTAGATGACAGATATTAGAGTGATGTTGTTCTACTGCAGTATATTCGATAAATAGAATCCCCTCAACTGTGATAGGCAATAAGACACCTTTTGAGCTCCTTTACAAGAAGAAGCCCAAGTATGATCATTTGAGAGTTTTTGGTTGTTTGAAATTTGCTACTACCTTGACAAATGATAGACTCAAGTTCGATGCTAGAGCTTGAAGATGTGACTAGAAGATTGCAATAACCAATGAGCCTAAGGCATTAGAGGAGAATCGAACATGGAAAGTTATGGACTTGTCACCCAGAAAGAGAGCCATCAACTGCAAGTGGGTCTACAAGAATAAATAGAAGATTGACACGTCAATTGAGAAACATAAATCTAGGTTGGTGGGCAAAGAATACACACACAAAAAAAGTTTTAATTACTATGAAACTTTCTCACCTGTAGCTAAGATTGCAACTGTTAGAATACTTCTTACTCTTGCAGCTATGAAGAAGTGACATCTACATTAGTTTGATGTAAATAATACATCATTGCATGGAGATCTAGAAGAAGAGGTGTACATGAAATTTTCATCTAGACACTTGAAGAGAAAAGAAGGAAAGGTTTGCAGACTTTTGAAAGTCTTTATAAAATAAAATAAGCTTTAAGACAGTGGTATTGCCAAGTTTTCATACTTCATTCTCAAACAAGGTTTTGCTAAGTCCAAGGCTGATTATAACTTCTTTTTGAAGAACTAAGGTAATAATTTTACAACCCTTCTTATTTATGTCCATGGCATTATAGTTGTTGGAAATGATAGAAGTGTTTTAAATGAGCTTAAAGATAAAATGAATAGTGAGTTTAAAATCAAGGATTTGGGTAACCTAAAGTATTTTTTTAGTATTGAAGTGACTAAATCAAAATAGAGAATACATATACGTCAAAGAAAAAATGTTCTTAATTGGTTGAAGGATACAAGAATTCTTGGAGGGAAAACTTCAACTTTACCACTGGTTCAGAACATAAAACTCTCCAAGAACCAAAGGGAGTTTATTTTAGACCCAAAGGTATACAGAAGGCTGATCGGGAGGCTTATATATCTAACATTGAAAAGATCAGATTTGGCATACTCAATCCAGGTATTATGCTAGTTCATGGAGGACCTTAAGGAAACACATTTGAAAGTAGCATATAAGCGACCCCAAGACAAGGATTATTTTATTCCAACACATCTGACTTGAGATTGGAAACATATTCATATAGATACTGGGATGGTTGCTCGGATACCAGAAAATTTGTAACTGGGTATTTCATTCTACTAGGGAATTCTTTAATATCTTAAAAAAAAATAGCATACCATATTAAGATCATCAACAGAGGCAAAGTATAAAATAATGGTCGATGTTTGCTATGAACTCATTTAGATTAGGTATTTGCTGGAAAATTTGAATATCAAGCATGAAGAAGTAACATAGCTTTATTATGATAATAGAGAAGCCATTCATATAGCAGCAAATTCAGTCTTTTATGGAAAAACGAAGCACAT